TATAGGTTCTTATGTCAGATAAGTTTAGAAACTTATCAAATGTTTAGTGTTTTTGGTGTTGGTGTTTAGAAAATTCTATTTGGTTGTTGCAGCTGCTAATGGAGTTGTCATTGCAACAGAGAAGAAACTCCCATCTATATTAGTTGACGAAACATCTGTAAGTGAACAGCTACGCTTCTTTATAAACTGGAAACTTTCTTGTGCATTGATTTATAGCGTGGGTATCTCATAACCTTTTTGTGTTGAAATATTTTGAGTTTGTTTTCTTTCCACCACTATGGCATGTCCTCTCAGATAATCAAATGGTATACTGGAGACTTCTTGTAACCTTTCAAGTTTTTGGTTTGCAGATTCAGAAAATTCAGTTATTGACGCCAAACATTGGAGTTGTTTACAGGTTTGTCTGTACTACATGCTTGAGTTTTTCAAGTTGTGGTATTTGATACTATCTATTGTGTTGTTGGTGTTATACTGCTTCTACAATATCTGATGATCTTTGGGAAAGTCTCAGCTATGATGGTTGTACCACGTCATCATTTTAACATGGTACAACAAACCAACATTAAATTGAAAACTAATATTGTTGGTGGGATCCGTTTTTTTCTAAATTCAATTTTAGAGGACTCACATGGCATAAATGATGTTGTCCCACCTAAAAATTTTATAAGTTCCACCAATAATGGCTACAAAGACTTTCTCAAGATGTACCATGGGTTTTAATTGACGGGACTCCCCTTCTGTATATCATTGTTCATATTCTATTGAGATAAAATACGTGTGGCTGTTGACATTATTTTTCTTGTTCCATGTTGGATGGCCCATGTGTTTGAGTTTTTAAATTTCCCTGCTTTGACTCGTGTAATTATACATGATCTGATTTACTTGTTTCCATTAGATCTTGTGAACTGACAATTGTAGTGAAGTTTAACTATGATGAGTTATTGACGTTGAATCATTGTGTTCATAGTATATGATCTGTACATGTAATCAAATCGATGCTTGTTTCTTTTGTTTGACCTTCTCTCAATGACATATTAGTTTCAAGATACTAATACATATTTGTATGGAAGACACTAGGACAGTTAAAATTCCAAAAAGGTGGGATTGTCCTTTTAATTATGTATTAAGAAGTATTTTTCTAGAAAGACCAGGCACCCATGTTTTTTTTCTTTGACGTTGTAGTTGTCATTGAATTGACAATTTAAGTTAGCTTTTCTTTTTTTCCTTTTTATTATTTGCCAGTTCTTCTTTTCCATGTTTCCCCAGCCAAATCTTGTGGTTAACTGAAATTTACTGTTCTCTCATGCAGTGGAATGGGTCCAGATTTCAGAGTTCTGGTTCGTAAAAGCAGGAAACAGGCAGAGCAATATCATCGGTTGTACAAAGTATAACTTCAATTCTCTGTGTTTTCATATTTTATTCCCTTGGTTTGTGTCCATAGTATTAAGTATTGTTCACTGATCATATGGTAAGGATTGGAAGTTCAGTTCAGATTCATTAGAAGAATTCTGCTGAATCCAATTTCTCTTCAATGTGCAACACACCATTTAAGCATTTTCTTTTTGGATTGTTTATTTCAATGTTCATATATGGGTTGTTGGAGCTTGTTGGTGTGTGGTAAATGATCTTTGGTCTTCGGATGGGCTACAAATTGATTTAAGTCATAATATTTTCAGATTACGATGGTAGCTTGTTTTTAAGAGATATCTCCTACTCCCCAGTTTGTTATATGGAGTCTCCACTTGAAACAAGTTTCCTTGATACTTTCTACATTCACCTAGTCAATTACTATATTTGAGCATGATAACTTACAATGTGATGCGGTGGGTATTTTTCAGGAACCAATCCCCGTTACCCAACTTGTGAGGGAAATTGCTGCTGTTATGCAGGAGTTCACACAGTCGGGGTAATTATTGTTTCTCCCATGGCCTGATTTCCATTTCTCAACTATGTTCTTGCTCATATTTTAACATTCTTCTTGGTCCATAGAAAGTAAAAGATTTACTGCTCGAGTTGCTTTATATAGAAAATCAGTGAAGGGTAATTTAGTATCATTTGCAAAATTTAGTATTTTAAATGATTTTATTGTTGAAATTAAGTGTACCTGGCGAACTTGGAATTTGGAAGATTTTGAACTCAATAAATTAAGGTTGTGTAGGATGTTTCTCGTTTAAAATTCGTATAGAGGCAGATGCATGTTATGAGTGTTCAACTTGAGTCTGCAATTAGCTTCAGGTCCTGTTCCACTCTAGAAACTCATTTGTCTTTGTTGTTCTGCTAGTGGTGTAAGGCCATTTGGAGTTTCACTGCTGGTTGCTGGCTTTGATGACAAAGGTCCACAACTATATCAGGTGTGTAATTCTGTCATCTGCTGGTTTAAACTATTTTTTGGTGCCGTTGTGCTCGAGTCCTTGGGAACAAGCTATAGAGGTTTCCCAGTACTATAGTTGCAGTTGAAAGATTTTTGCTGCAAAACATTGTACTTCGACTTTTCATCATGTGCAGTGAGATCTGAGTATGGAAAAACTTAATTAATTTACAAGGAAATATGTAAGCTTTTAAGATTGCTTTTGGTTAGGGAGTATACTTACATATGGACTTCCTCCATTGTGCATACATGCCATTTATGTTGGCCAACTATGTCGTATAATTTCTTGAACCTAGCTAAGTAGCTATTATTTCACATCATCTATGTCAAAATCTAGTTGGAAAGCTACACACACACACACACACACACGCATAACCCACCACAATCTTGTAAAAGCTTATTTATTCTTTAATTTTTTTCGATTTTATTTTCCACCGGATTTGTACATTACCCTGATTTTTATTATGCTGTAGGTGGACCCATCAGGTTCATACTTTTCATGGAAAGCTTCTGCTATGGGGAAAAATGTTTCTAATGCAAAAACATTTCTTGAGAAAAGGCAAGTTGCGGTCGGCAATTTTAAGAAACTTTTTTTCCTGGTTGATGTTTCCATTTGTATAAATTTCTGAACTAAAATAAATTGCTTCAGGTTGAGACTAATAAATTAGCAACAACGTGCTTACAATCTTGTTACCTACATTATACTTTTAATTCTGAACCAAAGTTGGAATTTGGGGGATGATATCATTTAAATAGATTGGATAATCTTTGATTCTCAAGAATGGTTTTCATTCTATTTTATAAATCTCCATTATTCCTGTATAGGCAAGTGTAATAATCAGAATGCACAAATCATTTATTTTATTAGTTCCGTTTTCTTTCTTTATCCTGGACTTCAGTTCATTGTTTACTTTGAACTTATGTTAAGATTCATGTGATTATTTATTCTAGGTACACTGAGGACATGGAACTTGATGATGCTGTCCACACTGCAATATTGACCCTGAAAGAAGGGTAGGAATTTTATCTCTCAGTTCATATATTATTTTTGTTTTTCTTCCTAAATGAAACAACTTAGATAATTACGAAGGTTATCATTTCTCATCTGCAACCAAATGGGTTTACGCTACTCAATTATGACTCATTATTATACATTTAAGGTCTATTCAATTGTTCCGTACCATACTTGTGTCACCTATCAAAGGCGGTGGTTGTAATATTAAAAGGACAAAAGAGCTGTAGCTTGTCTCTTGTTTGACAACTCTCAAGCTTATTGGCCTCTGACATAGTGTTCGGCACAGCTATACTCTCTTGTTCTATTATGCAAAATATGAGTTAGTTTTTTGTTGAGCTTTCGTTGTGCATGTGGTTTTAGGTTTGAAGGACAAATTTCTGGCAAAAACATTGAGATTGGCATAATTGGTACTGACAAAAAATTCAGGCAAGTTTCCTGTACAACCTGATTATGCCTATATGATATTGCCGTTATTATGTACACTATTTCTATATTTCTTGGTTTGTTGTCATTCTTGTTTTTCCTGCAAAAATTTGGCAGATTGAAAAGTAACTTGATGTAAGCAAAGATGTGCTGATCTTTACCAGCTTTGTATTAAGCGGAGTGCATTTTAACTTAGTTTCGGCTGTGGGATGAAATGAGGGTTAAATTAAATCTGGCTCACTTAGTAACATCCAAGTGGCAGTCAAGCACAGACCCAGGATCTATCTACCGACTTACATGCATAGATGCAGAGATGTTTTAAACTTTTTATGTAAATGCACAACTGAAAACTGCATAACGTAAGTTATAGCATTCCGATTCTGACATATCTAAGAAGACATGAAATGCACAAAATATTTTCAACAAGCAGATTTTGACTGACAAAAACAAAAAAGGAAAGAAATGCAGAAGTAACCGTACGAGTTTCTTTAGATTTATTCTTTTTAATTGTTGATAGGATAGTTTTACAATTATAACTACTAGGTTTTATTTGCTTTGATTGGGAAGTAGCTGTTTCATCCTTTGGCTGGCATGCGTGAGCTTCTGTTATTTTTTATGTATTTATTTTTTATATTTATGTAAAAAAATTGTGATTGTCTTGTTGCAGAGTTCTTACACCAGCTGAAATTGAAGATTACTTGGCCGAAGTGGAGTAGTTTGAGAAAGAAGAAGAAAAGTTGAGCAACCAGACTCACGCTTTTGTAGTTTGGGGGTTTTGTAGCTCCCTGCTTTGTTGTGCTACCAAGAAACGCTTTGGGGTTTTCTTTGTTTTATGAAATGCTGTTCAACCTAATTAGTCACTCGCTTCTAATGATAATACCTGCTTGTGTGGCTCAGGCTTTTGTTCTATAACTGCAAGCTTCCAATAGGCATCAACATCACTTACTGGATGAGATCCCTTTAATGGGAGTGCATGGTGTTAACTGAGCATTTTTTCTTTTGTGAAACTTTCTTTAAAATCCAGTACCCAGGAATTTGTTGCAGTTTAATGTCAAAAAACTTAAAAAGGACCAAAATCCAATAGTCACACCAGAATGAAGTATTTGCAAGTTTCATTTCTCAACGAAAATAATTGGCCTGAATTGAAATCTGTATCGCGTCAAATTGAAGAGCACAAAACTGTTAGGGCGCGGATTAGCTTGATGAAATTGTATTTTAAGTTCTATCATCAAAAAGTTACTTGAGATTTCAGAGAAGAGTACAGAGATACAGTACAAAAAAATTCAAATCATTCATGCTATACCCTAAACCCTAACCACTAATCCCAATGGAAGTTAGATCATTGTGGTTTCAAACCTATCCTATGCTCAGTACCAAAGCAACAATGATCCGTTGACTCAGTACTGTGTTTTTTAGCTTCTTAAATATCTTCCTCACCAGTAATCAGAACAAGAACACTTGCCGTCACTGAAATGGTGAAACCGGTAAGGATCTCTCAGTACGATTTTCCGCCCAACTGCTGCACTAACATGCTTGTAGACAGAATGACAATCACCACATACACGAAGATTCTTGAAAACCTTAACAGGTGAACCTTCTGGAGTATTGATCAATCCGAAAGCAAGGGCAATTCTCTCACTGTGGTTCCAAAGATTATGCTCCTTCTGTTCTTCATCTGTATCCTGCAGTGCATAGCTTGTATCAGGAACATAACCTGCTTCTCTAATCATCTTCATAAGCTCTCCCAACTTGGCATAAATCTGCCCTGTCTGTGGATGGGATTGCTCTCCCATCCCAAATTTATTCACCTCAGTTTTCAACTTGACCCAACTGCATGCAGGCTTCTTCGTTATGTTTCTCGATCCCATCTGCCTCCTTACATTCTCTACTTCCTCCCATCTACCGGTAGTTGCACAGACATTTGACAAAAGAACGTAAGCCGAATCATCTGATGGATCTAACTCCAGAAGATGTTCTGCAGCTTTCCTCCCTAGCTCTACATTACGATGGATTTTACATGCAGCCAACAAGCTCCGCCACACAAGGTCATTTGGCTGGACAACCATTCCTTTTATGAAATTTTCAGCTTCAGCAAGCCTTCCTGATCGTCCAAGAAGATCAATTATGCACACACAATGCTCTATTCCTGGTGGGACACCAAACTCTGTGGTCATTGCATAATAGTATGCAAGACCATCATCCACCAGACCCCCATGACTGCAAGCAGACAGAAGTGAAACAAAGGTGACATGGTCAGGTTTTGTACCAAGATTTAGCATTTCATGAAAAGCTTCCTTAGCCTTCTGGAAACATCCATGTTTGGCAAAAGATGATATCAAAATGTTCCATGATAATCGTGATCTGTTGGTTGGTGAGGGAAGTAATTTCAAAACATCCTCCATCTCCCCACATTTTCCATACATATCCATGGCAGCATTTGTAACATAATGGTCTGAGTCAAAACCAAGCTTAACTACCAGGCCATGAAGCTGTTGGCCTTCCTCCAACATAGCCAGGTCAGCACTAACAGAAAGTGCCACAGAAAAGCTGAACTGATCTAAGTCTACTCCAGCTTTCTTCATCATCACAACAAGTTTCAAAGCTTTCTCTAAGCCATGATTAGCATTTGCAGCAATGATTGCATTCCACGCAATGGAGTTCTTAAAATCTAATCCATTGAATATGGAATTACTTGAATTCAAATCACCACACTTAGCATACATTGTTATAAGGGTACTCTGAACATACTTGTCTGACTCAAATCCTGTCAGAACTATATGTGCATGGAAGGGCATTCCACGTTTTAGTAAATCACCAGGAGTCATAAAACCACCAAGAACATTGATTATTGTGATGTAGTTTGCTGGAGTTCCTTCTTCTCTCATTAATTTAAAAGCTTTTATCACCTCATTTGGATCTTTGCTCTCGGTATAACCACCAATAAGGGCATTCCAAGTAACTTCATCTCGCTTGGGCATTATTTGCAATACCTTTTCAGCTTCAACCATCATACTAAACTTTCCGTACATGGTAACTAGTGCATTGCCAATTATCACATTGTCTTGTAGGCCTGTAAGGACTGCAACAGCATGAAGAATTTTGCCTTGAATGAGAAATTCAGGGTTCGGACAGGCAGATAGTACACTTGTTAAAGTCACATAATTTACTGGTTTTCTCATCCGAAGCATTTTAGCAAAAAAGTTCAAGGCTTTTTGGCACTCCTCATTCTGAACATAGCATGCTAACATAGAGTTCCATGAGATTATATCCTTCTCTGTCATTCTTTGGAAAACTAACTCAGCATCTTCTGATCTTCCAGCTTCAGAATACATACTTATAAGAGTATTGCCAACACAAACATTTGATTCCAGCCCAAATTTTACTACTAGTCCATGAATTCCACTGCCCCATTTCAGTTTATCAGTGGAACCAGAGACTGTCAACAATGATGAAAGTGTTGTGGAATTCACTTCTTTATTAACATGCCGCATATAGTGAAAACACCTTAATGATTCTTCACAAAGCCCATTTTGCGCACTTGCAGAAATAATTGAATTCCATGAGATTATGTCACGTTCATCCATGTGATCAAAGACATAGAAGGCCTCGTCCACATTACCACAGCCACCATACATGGATATGAGGGAGTTTGCCACAGAGACACTATTCTCTAGTCCAAGTTTCATAACATGTCCAAGAACTTGGTGACCCAATAGCTCATCTTCCAGCATCCCACAAGTACTAATGACTATAGCAAATGTGTTATCATTGCAACATACTCCTTCAAGTCTCATACGCTTATATATACTCATAACTTCTCCCAAATCTCCATTATTTGAATGTCCAACAATCAAAGAAGTCCAAGTAACCACATTCTTATCCGGCATCTCCTCAAAGAGCTTCCGGGATTTAGACACAAGACCATAGGTGCCATAAAAGTGCAAAAGAGAAGTACCAACAAAGACATCACATAACAAACCAATTTTAACTACAAAAGCATGAACTTGCAATCCTTCATTGAACATACAAGCCGATTTATCACACGCAGTTATCAAACTAGCAATGACAAACCCACTTGGCTTAAACCCGCGGCCAATCATTCCAGAAAAGAATTCAATCGATTCGGGGTACAAACCTACTCGTACATAACCCGACATCATCGTGTTCCAAGAAGCTTCATTTCTCTCCGGAATATTATCAAATATATAGCGCGCATACCCTATACGACCAAACTTCGAGTACATATTTACCAAAGTATTCGAACTGAATACACCGAGAGGCACGAACCCCTTTATGCATAATGCATGCAATGCTCTGCCGAATATTTCTTTGGTGATTTCCGAGAAACCCTTTCGAGCAAAGCATGAGATTTCTGGGTTGGGGTGGTTTGATAGGTGCGGCTGAATGCCACAGTTTGTGGGTTCTTCTAGGCATGGGAGAGAGATGGGTTTTGGGTTTATGTAGCTTCTGCGTGTAAAACTGGGCAAATATGCAGCTGGCTGTGGAAGCTCAAGTTTGAGAGCTGGGAATTTTTTGCAGGAACTAGCCAGCTCTGCTTCTTGCTTCTTCAGGCTTCCACTCAGCAAAGTCAGAAACAACAATTTTCTTGCATTATGGGTCCTTTCCTTTTCTTGTGTGATTATTGGGCCTGAGGGTGTAATTGTTTACGCCCATTGATGAAGCTACTATTGTTTTCAGCCCCAATTGTTTTCAGCCCAACCAAATTTTAATACCAATTATAGCCATAATAAAATAACATTAAGTTCACAATGAAAGACAAATTCTTGATGGGTAAAAAGGGAAGGAAAGATAAATTCATTTAGATTTGAACCAAAGAGAAATATTGCTCGTTTGAGACTGCTTTTGTATAAAATTCTCATGTCATAATCACTTTTCGTAAATCAATCTTATTAGAAACACATGAAAATATTTATTAAAAATTAAGTGCTTTTTGAAAATAACACCTATGAAGCAAAACATAAAGTAGTGATATCAGGTTCGAACCCACAAAGCACCTCGGTAGTGTGTAAAAATTCTATTCCCTTATTGTTTAGACTATCACTCATATTAAAAAATAAAAGAGAAATGCAAGCTTTTCAGCTAAATGCTATTAAAAGCGTCTTCGGTTATCTTGAATAACTTTTTTTTTTGGGTTTCTTTTTTGAGCTATAGATTGAAATAAAATTAAAGTCAAATGACAGTGACAAAAGTGTAATTAACTCCAAAATTGATCTTCATGTTGTCTTTTACCGCCTTAAACCCTTGCACAGACTGAAATACAAAAAACCAAACAACACAAACAAACACACACAGATAAACCCTAACCGCGGAAGCCGACGACCCGAACTTCTCGCGCCACACAGACTAAGCTTCAGCTTCAGGTACTCTATCTGAAACTCAAACCCTAAACGTATCTATTCATTATCGTCATCCCTTCCCAATGATGAGCAATTGAGCTTAATACTTCGCCGTTTCCTCTGCTCAGCAAAATCAGGACTTGAGAGAATGGCCACCGACGAAGAGAAGCAGACGACGACGTTTAAGACTTTGGGGATATGCGACGAATTGGTGGATGCATGTCAAAAATTGGGCTGGACAGTCCCTACCCCAATTCAAGTCGAATCCATGCCTTCGGCCCTTGATGGTTCGTTCACTCTCTCATACTTTTGTATCTCTTTGCTGTCATATGTCTTATTTTTCAAATATAACTTTTTGCCCAGTTGGTTTTAGCAAATTTCTGAGCTCGATTTTCACATATAGATTTTGTATGTATATGTCCACTGATTCTAAATATGGATTTTTGTGTATAAAGGAAAAGACTTGATCGCACTTGCACAAACGGGTTCGGGTAAAACCGGAGCCTTTGCGCTACCAATATTGCAAGAGTTAATAAATTCTCCACAAGCATTTTTTGCTTGCGTTCTGTCCCCGACAAGGTTGGATACTTAAATTAAATTAAATGTTACGAGGAAGCTGTATGATACATCGGATTGTTATATATTTTGACATTTATAACTGTCTATCTTACCATTGACTTGGGTATGCTGCAGAGAGCTTGCAATTCAGATTGCTGAGCAGTTTCAAGCTTTAGGCTCAGAGATTGGTGTCAAGTGTGCAGTGGTGAGCATTGACCTATTTAGTTTGCTAGTTTGGCATATTGTACATTACCGATTGTATGAGATTTGCCAAACTAAATAGACAGCATAGTTGAGGAAAATGATGTGTAGTTTCTAAAGTACAAACTACTGAAATTATGTTCAAAGCTCTTTTCTGTTGTTTCATACAGGCTTAATTATATTTAGTGGCTAATTCTTATTGGGGTGTGCAATTTTTGAACAATGTATAATTTCTCTCTAGGTGCTTTGTATTAAGTCTATAAAGTAAACAGGAGTTAATCATTCTTTAGAGCTTTTAAAGATGAGATTCTGAAGTTGTTGGATTGAAGCTTCTTATTGATTAACTTTTCTTAAACATTTTTTGTGCTACTTAATTTTGATTAGCTAGTTGGAGGAGTTGACATGGTGCAACAATCTATCAATCTTGCAAAGCGGCCACATGTTGTTGTAAGTTTTTATTTTACTGGGACGGCAGCCTTTGTGATTTATGTGAATCTTTGCGTAAATATTCAAAAATTGACAACTTATGTTTTGATTTGTTATCTTTTTTTCCCCTCTTGCAGGTTGCAACACCTGGACGCCTCATGGATCATCTATCGAACACAAAAGGATTTTCTCTTCGCTCATTGAAATATTTGGTATGATCTGATTATTTTAATATGTTATCTTTTCAATTTTTCCTGTGTATAAAAACTTACAAATGAATTAGATGGTATGGTCATATACAATGTAGACCACCACATGCACTTGTAAGCAGAGGTCAATCGAGACTAACAGAGGATGAAATAATGAAAAGATCTTTAAAGAATAATTAGATTTAATAAAAGACACGTCATGCAGATATTTCTATTTAGTATTAGTGGCTACTTCAATTATTTAATTTATAACAAGCATTTGTATTTGCTTGTGATATGATCTCAAATGTCTCATGTCTGAGACCTGGCTAGATATACTAAGAGGCCTCTTATATCCAATGGGGCAGGTTTTAGATGAGGCTGACAGGTTGCTTAACGAGGACTTTGAGAAATCAATTGATGAAATCCTGAATGTCATCCCCCGTGATCGGAGAACATACTTATTTTCTGCTACCATGACTAAAAAGGTATATGTTCAATTATTTCAATGCATCTACATTTTTTTTCTTCGTATTTGTGCTTTTATTTTCGTCTCGTACCATGGTTTGGTGCATATTAAATACCATCAAGTGGCATGCTGATTGGACATGTGCAGCTTGGTTTCTAATTTTTTTTTTTATACCAAAAAGCTGTCGATTTTAGAAGTGTTTGTATAAGGTGAAATATGCTACCAAAATTTTAAATTATGGGACACTGTTGAAATTGATGTTTTCATGAAAAAAAAAAAAACAGAGATTGAAGTAAGCCTGCATGTCATGAAAATGCTTATATGCTGCTGTTACTATTGGGTCCCGAAGCAGCTACCAAAAAAAAAACAAAAAACTTTTGGCATATTATTTGAGGTTACATTTCCTACCTGCTCCCAAGCAGAGAAGATATGTGCCTTAGAGAACAGAATAAGCTTATTTGAGGCACACCCTTGTAGGGCATACTCCACATTGTATTTCACTAATCCAAACCGTTTATTTTGTAAATATTCATTCAAAGATCATCTCTATAAAAAATCACTTGAATCCGATATCAAAAGACCACTCAATTAAATTATTGAAATTTTAGTACTTTCTTGAAGCACCGTGTGCATTGATTTTGTAGGACACAATTAGATGTATAAACGCTTTCCGATTTGTTTAATTTTTTGCAAGGATGATCTATGAATGAAGTCCTAAAAAATAGATGGTTTGGATCGTTGAAAAAAATTTCGTAGAGTACCCTAAAGGGTGTCCCTCAATAGAAGGGGACTGATATATATATATATATATATATGATAATTTTTCATCAGTTAACAGAGTTGTGCTTGTAATATTGCAGGTCAAAAAGCTGCAACGGGCTTGTTTAAGGAACCCTGTGAAGGTATGATGAAAGAGTTTGCTGCACAATGTTCATTCTCCACAATTCTTTCCTAAATTTTAATGACCTTTTTTTTTTTCCTTTCTCATTTATCTCAGATTGAAGTAGCATCAAAATATTCTACTGTTGACACACTAAATCAGCAGTATCGTTTTCTGCCGGCTAAGTACAAGGTTTCTCCCCGTCTTGTTATTTTTTCTACTCATATAATTTTAACCTTTTGGTTATGCCTCTACTCATTTTGATATTATGTACATGTTCTGTTGTTTATGAATCATATGTCAAAGTATATTATGGTTAAGACTGCTGCTAATATTTGCCAATAAAATACACAAAGATGAACTATCACTCTTAACAGGAGATTAGGAAAAAAGCATCGTTAGATTATACTTTGAAGCCATAGAGCAGCTTCGAAAACGTCTTTTTTAATTGCCTTTAGCTTTAATTTTGGTGGTTGGTGAACCCAGATCCAAGAACTTTGTATTCCCTTGTCTAGTGTGTGTACTTGAAAAGAAATGCCTAAAAGACTGATTCATGATTTCTTTACACATTTATTTATGGCTCGTAAAGCACCTGATGTTATGCCTTTGCCTCATAAAAGATTTGTCTATGTTAGAATAGGATTATAGATAAAAAAATGTCAAAGACCAATGAATTTACCTCTGATGATAAGAGCTCCTGAATTGTTTTATTTATTTCGTGGACATCCTGGAGTGAAGGTAAGATAAAGTTTGTGTGTTTAGAGAGTTGGAAGGCATGGGTGACATAGTACAACTACACATGAAATGACGGACGTAGCAGTGGTGCCAAAATATTTGGCAAGAGTCTTTTAAATATTTTAATATATAAAATGCAATATAAGTGAGATGTAGCAATATTCTGGACACAGAGTGTGAAGATATAATCATGGCATGCATGCTTTCCTTCCCTGATGTTCCTGTCATTTTATGGCTCAATTTGTCTCCCTTGGATATATTTTCACAATGATTGTCCTTGCAGGATTGCTATCTTGTATATATTCTGACCGAGAAGTGTCAGTGTACAACAATGGTATTTACTCGTACATGTGATGCAACACAGCTTTTGGCTTTGATGCTTCGAAATCTTGGCATAAGGGCCATCCCAATTAGTGGTCATATGACCCAGGTATATAACATATAATAACATTAATTTTTAGAGCTTTTTTTCAAGTTTGCTTTATTTGTTGCAACCATGTTATTCATTGATATTCCAGAATTTCTCTAACTTTCTTTGTGGATTGTTTCTGGCAGTCAAAAAGGCTTGGCGCCTTAAATATGTTTAAAGCTGGAGAGTGTAATGTACTTATTTGCACTGATGTGGCCAGTAGAGGATTGGATATTCCATCAGTGGATATGGTTATTAATTATGACATCCCCACAAATTCAAAGGTTAGGCTTGCTATTGTTTAACCTAGTGTGGGGCTTGCTGTTCGCAGTTTACATCAAAGTTAGCCATTCATCTTGTTTTCAGATGTTAATATATCTTTTGTTATTTAGTTGAGTTGATGCTATTTAGTCCCTAGTATTAGTATTGAGCTACATGTTGCAACGTTTTACTTGTATGACTCAGGAAAAATATGGATTCTCCTAGCCACTAAATTTGTCCTTAAATCGGTAAGGTAACACCTTTTTATTGCACTCAAATGAAGAACTTCACTAGTTCATTACTACAGCTGACCATTTTGGATATTGAATGGGTGCCATTGCCCCCACCCGACCCTCTACTCTATGTATGTAATGCTTTTAGTGTGTTGGGGAAATCATGTGTACTCGAAAACCTGCAAGCTTATCTAATTCAAAGGGAATAAGAAGAAAAATAATGTATTAATAATATATAGACAGTATACTGTTGTACAACTGTATTTTTCTTGTTTCTGTATGCCCTTGTTTGCTAACTACAAGTGAATCACAGGATTATATCCATCGAGTAGGAAGAACTGCTCGTGCTGGACGATATGGGGTTGCCATCTCTCTTGTGAATCAGTACGAGTTGGAGTGGTATATACAGATAGAGAAGCTTATTGGTAGGCTATAGTAGTTTCCCATGTTTGTCTGTTTGAGATACTAAAATAGAGTGTTTTGGATGCTTACAAATTTGTCAATGTCCAGACAAAAAGTTACCCGAATTCCCTGCTGAAGAAGATGAAGTCCTGCTATTGTTCGAACGTGTCAAAGAGGCCAAAAGACTGGCCCTGAAGGTAATGTTCTTCTTAAGTTGGTGTTGTTTTCTATCTTTTGTTTGCTTGCCAGTGTATCAAGAAGTTTGGTTCCATTATGGTTAACGTGATCTACATTTCGACTTTACCAGAAAATTAAAGACGGTGGAGGCAAGAAGAGGAAGGGTGAAAACTACGGTGAGGAGGAGGATATTGAGAAGTATTTTGGTCACAAGGGTGGAAAGTCCAAGAAGTTTAAATCAAGATGAGATTGGCTTCACTCCTCCGCTAACTTTTGTTAATGGAATTCTCATTTCTGTAATATATACTGAGCGAAGAACTTGTTCTATCTTCCCTGTTGTTCGGAAGAGTGGAAAACATTTTTGAAATAGTGTTTTTTTTTCTTACTATTTATAAAATTATCAATTTTTTAAATGTTTGATGTTCTTTTTTTATTCGGTCTGGTCTATGCTCAGCCCCCTCTTCTAAACTTTCCACCTGTTGAGAGAAATTAACTATGGGTCAAGGACATGTGCTTAATCAAGTTGGCAAAGCGGATGTACTCCACACTCTCCACTTGAGTTCGAATTTCGCTCCTCGTAGTTTAGATTAGATTAAAGTAGAATTTCACTTGTATATATTTTAAAAAAAAATTTAAAAAAAACCGTGTATTAAGGCTTATCATTTAATTCCATAATGACGGGAGAAAAATAATTTATCAATTTATTTTCCAGTTCATACAAATAAAATTGATAAGAAATTTATTTTCCACATTTTCGACGGTGCAGCCACCCATCTTGTTATCTATATAATTGATACTGGGACTACTGATCTTTGATTCTTAAGAATGATTTCATTCTATTTAATATATCTCAATTATTCACGTATTAGCATGTGTAATCAGCAGCATGCCATGCACCAATAAATTATTTTAACCTTTTAGTTCCATTTTATTTCTTCATCCTTTACTTCAGCTCATTGTTTGCTTTGAATTTATGTTAAAATTCATGTGATTATTTCTTCTAGGTACACTGAGGACATGAAACTTGATGATGTTGTCGACAGCAATATTGATGCTGAAAGAAGGGCATACAATTAGATTGGCAAAAGGTAGGGGAACAAAAGTTTGTGACCATAACCATACAAATTCGAAACCCATGACCTAGCACGAACTTCCCCATCCTTTTTCCCTTATTATTATTATTTTTTTCTAGACTAAACCAACTTCGCGCTTGCCTAATTGCTAAAGGTCCGAGTAGGTTTTGGACTCACAAAGGTCTAGGTTGATTTTGGGACAGATCAGATTGGAACAAGGGGATTCCAATACGAATCCAAAAAAAATTTGGAATGAAAATTATTTTTTAATTCTGTCCAAAAATTTCGAAATTTTAACATCCATTTCAATTCAAAAAACTCGGAATTTTTGGAAATTTTCAAAACTTATATATATTTTGGAAAATAGTTGAAAACAACAATTTAAAAAGTTAAAAATTGTTAAAAATTGAAAACTCATTCGAAAAACTATCATATGCTATTATTTATGTTATCATTTATTTAATAAGTCGTCTGTGTCTATTTAGTCATCAAATCATAATTAGTTCAACGTGGAATTAGTCACGCGTAGTCTAAACTTGAAATCCCAATATATTTTGGAACTTGGAATTTTCGGAATCTTGAGATACATTCCAATTCCAATTCAATTTTTTTTCGCCATTTTCATATATCGAAATTAATTTGGACTCGCCAATTTTATTTTATTTTATTTTGGGTAAGAATCGGATTGTCCAATCCTACTTGCAATCCCACAAAGGTCTGTTGTAGGCTGAGAAATTGAAATGGGTTGATCATGAGAGAAGAAAAAGGAAGGCCTAATAGATAAGCACACTTATCAATCTCTAATTCTGTTTTGGTTTTGGGAGTTTGCAGAGGCCCATGAAAATTACACGTGAGTCGTGAAATAACGAGGTTGTGTTTGGCGAGCTACTTATCATTTAAAGACACAACAAGAGGAAAAACATGGCTGAGACAAACAGAGCCTAAACTAATAAATGTGAAGATCGTCCAACTTAGAGCGATTAAAGAGCACAAAACAAAGAATATAATGATGTGTTTATTAATTAGAAATTGGAATTCTCATCAAGAATTGAATTCCATCTATGGAGGATTCATGCGTTTATTTAACATTAAGAAATTGAAAAGTAAGTTGGGCACATACAAAATTAGGAATTGAATTCCTGATTTTGGAGAAATTCAATTTTTGGGTGGGATGTGATATTCTAATTCATGAAGAATTAACCTATTAGAAATTCATCTTTTTTACCCTTTATATTCTCATACAATTTTTAAAATTAAATTTGTCATATACTTTAATTCAACACCGATGACATTTTAGTAATTAGCATCACTTCTATCCTAATTTCATATGATTTAGTAAACAACTAAGAATCCGAAATCTAACTCTTCTCAACCCGTATGGTTTAGTAAACAACTTCAATAGGAATCCGGAATTTAATTTTCCTCAATCCAACTCCTCTTCAATTCAATTCATCATCAATTTAATTCATCGTAATTCAATTACAAATTAATGAACATGCCATATATGAAACGCCAATTCTGACCTTGCAGTCTTCGGAATCCTGTAGGTTATATTGTGCACTATTCACGAATTGACCCCAACGTCTATTGTCTTGTTCGAAAATATTTGCCAACTGGTGCTTTTACAATTAAACTTTAGACGCTCCATGCCACGTGTGCTACTCTTACTCTTGTAAATAATACAAGTTTGGAGGATACAAGGAAACTACGGTGAGGAGGAGGATATTGACAGTATTTAAGGGGAGAGAGAGGGAGAAAAAGAAGAGAGGGCGGTGGTGGCATTTACATCTAATATAAACTAATTCAATTTTAAATCAGAAACTTCGCATTAACCCAAATTAATAGTTGACAACATGCACATGCCCAATAATAATTTTTTTTCATTTTCTTGAAAAATGACTAGTAAGTTAATTTCATTCACTACTTCTCATGGAGTAAATGTGCCCATACAGACGTCTCAATGGAAGCCCTAAACAAATTCAACCATCTCTCCACCCAGTGAGATTAACTACAAAAATTTTATGTTACAATTAGAGTTCCCTAAATCCTGGCTCCTTTGCAGTCCCGCACAGATTCTTCACGCAGAAAAGAAAGTCAATTTCAGCGTGTGACGGGAAGATGTGCCAAAAAACTGCCCCTGCATCTGAAAAGGGCAAAGTCCAATCTCCCAATTCCAATACCGTCTGCTTCGTAATCCACGTGTGATGGGAGTAAAAAGTTGATAATCCCAAATTTGAAGATTAGTATTCCACCAATCGTAATTTCTTTAAAGAGGGAGCTCGGCCTGGACACAAAACTTGTGGTTCCAGCTCTCAGATTTAGCTTACCCAATGTCAATATATTCTGGCAATAGTTCATCATCAAGGCCTCCAATCAAGCCAGGAACATATTCATGTGGGAGAACTCCAAAGTCCTCCGTTTCCAACAAAGACTCGTCAATGTAAGAATAAGAATTGTCTTCCAAATCATCAATTCCAACATCCTCGTTGACAGGCATATTCAGGTCAAACCTTGGAATGGGATTCATGGGTGCAGCCATTGGCAAAGGTTGAAATACCTGCTCAGTAATAAAGCTACGCATCTCACCATGCTCTACTGAACTTTTTCTGATCTTCGATTTGGAAGGTCTAACTGAATCAGAGAAGACAAGTTTGTGCTTTCCCGTGGTTGGTGGCTTTGACACTGACCGAGACCTGATATCATTTGTTGGGAATGCAGATGCAGCCCACCCCATGGTATCTTCAATGCAAGTTCTTGTTGCAGTCCTGAAAGTAGACAGAACTCTTATTAGCAACCTTACAATACCCAAATCCCCATACTAGGAATTTGTTCAGACATCTACATAATAAATGTTTATTTTTCATATACCAATTGTTCTGGAATCATGTTGCAAGAGACCTTACCTGAAACGGTTCTCAGCTAAATTTATATCACAGGAATCTTCGCACTGATCATTGCTGGAGTTTCGAAGATGATGATCTTCTGTAGCTTGACTTAACAAGGGCAAAGGGTCAGAATCGGATACTGATAAATTTATAACAGATGGCAATGCATCCATGGAGTCATCTTTCTCTCCCTCAAATTCCAAAGTTATATCCAACCGCTCTGCATCTGTTCCTGAATCTTTCCCCAGGTTGGGACGAAAGACTCTGCCATCCTCCTGCCTGCTGCTGGCATCATTAAGTGCAGCAGCTATCAACTTGGTACCGTGCCCAAAAGTGCTCAACTTCATTCTTTCCGTACGTTCCTTCATGGAAGTCTGAGAAATTTGGTTAGAGGAACTAAAAAAGCTTCCACCAGAATATAGACCATTCCAGGATGATGGGAGATTTTTTCGGCGATCTTTGCGAGATGTCACCTTCCAGACAGATGAAAGCAGGGCAGTGAAGTGTTTCTGAATGACAAACTCTCTATTGGGCTGCTCAGCAGCAACATTTAATAACATTCGAATATTATCCTGGCATATAAGAAAGATGATGAGTCGTTTAATAAATGTTAACCGCACCAACTACAATTCACAATAGCTAAGTGATAAAAGTGTTTATGAGATTGACAAAACATATGCAGTTCTGAAAAAATAAAACACCATTTGTACCTCTGTTACTCTTAGAAGAGCCTTTCCAGATCCTATATTATTAACTTTTTCATAATTAGGATTGTCTGGTGTAGACAAAACATATCTTTGGATGAGTTCTCTAAATCTCTCACAGCAATGGACAGGATGGCGATATCTTCCCCTATAAAACCCACCAGCAGTCATTCCATAAAGTATGTCACTAACCAAGCTCCAATAAGGACCATACTCATGTACAACAGCACACAATATCGCATCCTCTTGTGACAACCAAAAATCTGGTGGTGGAATACAATCTCTAGACCAAATGTTGCCCTTCTTTAACTTCTCTGGTTTTATCATGAGAACACGCTTTACAGGCATGGAAGTGATAGATATTTTCCCTCCCATCTTGCTTCTACTAACTGGTTTATGCTCAAAATCAACCACACTCTCACTTGGTTTTGACTCTGTAACTTCATCATGCTCCATTGTAGAGAGGTTAGTATCAAACTCCGAAGGACAAATTTCAAGAGTAGACTTCTTGAGTTTCTTTGATTTTTTCTTTGAAGTCTTCTCTTCACCAAATGGTCTAGATTCAGCCTTCTTACGTTTTCTCTTGACAATTGAACGAGGTGATTCCATATCGGAATAGGTAACCATCTCATAAGAGATGGAGTCTTCATCTATGGACATAGGTTCCACTTGAAGATCTCCTTTCACAGGTTTCAGTTCAGAAGCTAGAGATCGTTTCTTCAGAGATTTAAATTTGGCTTTCTTCGATTTC